ATAAGTCCATAGAACAAAACCATCTCTATATCACCAACACTGTCTCCAGCACAAGTCCAAAACGTATCCCCACACTAGCTACTATGAAGAAAATCAATCCTCTCAGCTGAAACCAGGACAATGATATTTCACATTTCCTTAAAACTGTTTTGTGTCCTATTTGAGGCTGGGGGAGAAGTCCTTCAGGAAAAGAGCTGCTGTAGTTTGCTCTAATATTGCAAGCTTCTGTAGCATTTCTGTTAAGCGGAGACTGCCTACGCTGCTGAAAAGCAGAGGTAGTCCTCCAATGTCCTGTGTAATATACAAACATCAGTATTACATCAGTTTGGTCATAGATAATGTACAGACTGCCTTCCCGTATGTTAAATGCAAGCAGATATTTAATTGCACACAAGGCCGCTACACCCAGCAGGGTATATACCTCAGCCCTCACGAGCTCTGATTTTCGGACAATGACAGCGCGTCATGTGCAGTCTCAACAAATTAGTTCCCCGCGTTACGCGGTCCTTTCTCAGCTGTCTGCTTGGGGATGCCCAGGGATGTTTCATCAACATGCGTTGTTCCACTTGCCTTCGCTTTGGGAGCCGCTGGCTTGCGGTGGATTTGGATGAGCCGTTGCAGTTACACCAGATTTATGACTGCCTCTATTTATTTATTTTTTTTTCTTGACGTAGCAAGGGACGTACAGCAAAGAGCAGGCACAGTAAGCTTGATCTTCTTTTTATTGACGATAATATTTAAAAGCTAAAATGTAACAGTATTTCAGTTGTGAATACATGGAAATTGTGTGTACTGCTTAATGTGTTTGAGAAATCCCTGTTACTTTTCTTCCTTAAATACAAGAAAACAGGCGTGTAATGCCTCATTGAAAGAAGCCTGTAGGGGTGCTTTGTGAGGGTCTTAATTAAGGGCTTTGAAAGACTAAACAAAAGGAAAAAGAAAATGCTACAGGGTTATTGTTATTCCAGCCCATTGGCTCAGCGAGCTGACCATCCATTGGTGCCTTCTGTCCATTTGGGAGCTGAATGACACTTTTGTTCGTGGTTAACAGAGGTGAAAGAAGCCAATTATTGGCTGTCTTTTCCACAGGGCAGCTGCAGACGGATTTCACTCCAGGCAAATATGGACTTTTCTGCCACAAGGATGGTTGTGATGACAGTTATTTTTGTGGAATTGTATGAAAGAAAACAGATATTTTTTTTTTCTCCTCCTCCAGTGACTTGTGTAGATGTTTATTGAAAACTACTGTGAATGTGCTGGTGTGAAATGGGAAAGTGTAAAGGGCTGGATTCCCTACGCTAACAGTATACTCGGCTTTTTCTCTGGGTGTGTGAGAAAGTGAGGGTTTTTGAATTTCTTTTTCTCCTCTTATTTTCTTTTTTTCTTTGCAGTTGCAGTTAATTTTAACTATAGGGTTTTTCTAATTGGTGTGCAGTGTGCATTAACCCTCCTATGGCTGCCAGCTCAGGCTGTGCTGGCTGCTTTGTGTGCTGTAGTGATGGAGGGACAACCTCTGCAGGTTAGCAGGAAGTCCTACAATGGCAAAATAAATCTCTGCATGCCATTAGGGACCTCAGTGTGCCTGAAACTTGGCGCCCCCCCCCAATTCTTATCAGTTGGTCCAGTACATTAGAAGATGTTTTCCCACAACTTTTGCTTTTATATTTAAAAATTTATTCCTTTCCCCCTAAATTTTCTACGTTTGAGCTCCTAGTTGTAGTTTAAATGTGTAAAAAGACTCGGCTGGTGAAGAACCAGGTTCACTGACTGTTTGGATTCCAGAGGAGTCTCCTCCAGTTTGGGGCAAATTTTGAGTAAGGACCCACGTCCCGGTCAGAGTTGATCCATCTTAGTTTGTTATACTGAAAGACTTCTCAGCATGTTAGCTGCTGAGGAGGCCTGTTGGTGGTTGTGGTAGATTGTGACGGCCTCTTTGCGTAGCCGTCTAAAATCTGCGTTTGGGCATAGTTCATAATAATAGTATAAAAAGAAAAGAAAAAGCTGGTGTTCCTTGTCTTATGTGGCTTTCTGCTGCAGGTGAAATGAGAGTCTGCCTTTTGTCCTCCGACCTACAGAGGTAGAAGCACTATGAGAACGTTATTCCTTCATCTCTTGGTGCATAAAGAGGTTTTGTGCTTTCAGTTGGTTTCTCTTCATCCAGACTGATTATTTTCCTTCACTTTTTTTTCTGCATGGCTTGTTACCTACAGACGTGAGTGATCCTGCCAGTTTCCACTACATTGCCAACCCACGTTGATTGAAGTTTGTCATGCCCCCATTGGGCTTAGCATGGTGCAGGCAGCCTCGCTTGAGGCTCTCGAACCGGCTGAGGATGCGTCTCTGCGGGCACTTGTCATCTGCTGGCCAGTGTCAGCAATAGGGCCGTACCTCTGCCAAGTTCCTGAGAACATATGGGATGCGTATGTGCGCAATGCCGTCAAGTTGCCCGTGCAACACTGGCAGCGGTGGCTGCGCACACAGAGGTATCAGCGATGACAATGGCGACCATCTCCTGGGCATGGTGGCCTGGCTCACCTTTCTCTTTCCTTCCCCAAATGCTTAAAACTAGCTAGTTTTTTATGGCAGAATTTTGGGGGGGGAAAACCCACTGTTATGTATGTGCAGAGCACAGGTGCTGCTTTCACTGTAGATCCTGAACTTTGCATATCATCTTGCTTTAAGGTGATGGCAAATACAGGTTGGATGGGTATAAAAGCTACACAACTTTGACCACTGAGGAAACAATTGTGTTTTTTCACAAGGCAAAGCATACGTGAAGTTTTTCTTCTTGAGATGAAATAATTAGCTCTGTGGTAGAACAGAACAAAATAATTCCTTACACTCTCATTATGTAAGAAAAATAAAAATGAGTTCAGATACTTCCCTGATGTCCCTTGTTCAGTCCTGTTGAAGTAGAAGCTGAACCTGTAGCTCTTCTCTAAGAGCATCCTGGCAGACATTTTGTGCACCTTTCATTTCCATTTGTGTCTAAGGTTCACTGGAAGGTAAGGTGGATGCTCAACCTGTGTAAAGGACTTGGCCATACATCTCAGCTAAATCAAAAAGAGGGATGTAGCTGAAACCAGTATAACCCCAAAGGATGGGAAGCTCGTACGAAGCTGATGAAGCTGTTTGGATTCTTGTATTTAGCTGTGCGTCTTGTCCATAGGCAGCAACCCTCGCTTTACCATTTGTTGAAGGTACCGTTTGCCCAAGTGAAACGCAGGGGTTGTATGTTAGCACACGTGAACGCTGCCACACGGGAAACTTCAGATGACTTCAGGCAGACTTTAATTCTTAGGATGTCATAAAGTGGGAATTACTTTTCTGTTAAAGTACTGTGCAATAATTGATGATCAAGAATTTCCAAAACTTGAGTTTTGCATCTTATCAAAACTGCTCGTGCTTTGTGAGCTGCTTTAAAATGCCTTGAAAATCGCTTTGTAAAAGCGTGTTTGGTTCTATAAAGGCCACTCCAGGTGCTGCCATGAAATCTATTTTGACACTAGAAAGCTGTACTGTGTGCTTTTAGTTTTCCCACAGTATATAGATAATTATAGCGCTGCATTGCAGGAAAAGATTATTATTTTTTTGCCAGAAATAATTTTTAGTTACATCCCAGTTGCATGTTTTATGTAAGTGAAAAAAAATTCTTAAATGCTGAAGGTGGTGTATATAGGTTTGGACTGATTGAGGTGTTTACATTCTGTCTTCTGGCTTCATCCTATCAGTTACTGTGTTCATACACCAATTTTGTTTTGCTTTTTTGCTTTTAGTCTTCTAAAAATGTAGGGCTTACCTAGACTTTTGAGGCTCAGGTTGCTTTCTAAACATTGGGTGGAACGGACTAGGAGACCAAAATAAACCAGAAGAAAATGAATAAAATTCAGAGTACTTAGAGTTACTAAAGTTGGCATTTTTATGAAATTGGACTTGTAGCTGTTCATGTTATTTTTGCAACAGAGCAAAAACACGGAGTGAATATTCAACGGGAGATTTTAAAGTGAATGTGTGTGTGTAATGATAGCATGGCTTTTCTATCAGTGTAAACAGATTTAAGTGCTGGGCTCTTTCTGGACAGCTCAGACACATCGGTACTTTATCCTCCCCCTTCCTCACACAGATGCAGCAAAGATTATTCTCCTTTGAACCTGGGGTTTGGGAAGGGGAAGCAACCTGTCCAAACCCACAAAATGAGTCTGTGCTGGGGCAAGGAACTGAACCTCTGTGGATCTCTGTCCAGAGTTGTAATGGGGAGCTTTTGGTGTGAAATGTTTGTTGTAGTAAATACTGTGTTGCTAGGTGGAGTAACATGTGATGTCCTTGGAGTCCAAAGGGTGAGCGTGACTCCCTATGCTCCTGTTGAGGTGGTTTAAGTTTTATGGAATTGCCCTTGAAGCTGTTAAATGGAATGAAACGTGCCTTGTAGGTGTTTGTGGGACCTGAGACTGGCGGGGGGGGGACGGGACACGGGACACGGACGACACGACCCCAGATCTCATTAAACTGGTTTGATTACATAGTTTGGTGATGTTCCTAGTGTTTCAGCAATGGTTGTTCACAGAAGTTTTCGATAAGGAAAAAATGCTTGAGAACTTCCTCAACAGTAATGAACAAATCCTTGGCTTGGTTATGCATGAAGTGTCTGTGCCAGGTTTAGCAATGTGTGCTTTAAATTTAAACTCAGATATGTCTCTAACCTGGGGCTGACTTAACTCCTTCAAGAAAAATCAAATCTATAGATGACATATTTAACTTTACGGTTGCTGGCTCAATATGACTCCATGATGGTAAGGACAATTGGTGCACCTGGCAGTACTGCCCTATTTTAACTTGGTTGCAAACAGAGTATTAAAGTTTATTTACTTAAGACATGACAAATACCTTTCTGTAAAACTCCTTTAGGGAATCTGGTGTTGACTTCGTTGAAGGCATAGCTACATGTTACATTTTAGTATGGTGCCAAGTTCCCATTGTCCCCTTCAATACCTTTCCTCTTTCCTACTACCATTGCAGTTTGCTGCCCCACAGTTGTGCTGATAACAGCTCTCTGAGGCCGTGCTACATAGAGGACAGCTAATCCCATCTGATTTTTTTTTTTTAAAAAGGCAAAAACCAGAAATGTTTTTGTTTAAATCCAGATTATTATAATGATCTGATTACAGCAGGCTGCCCGTAATCAGTTACACCATGGAGGTGGAAAGCAATGGGAATATAAGCTGATTTTCTTCATCAGAAAGAAGACACGTTGTGCAGCTGCACCCTGGTGGGTGTAGTAGGTTGAAGCCTCAAGCATGTAACCTGTTGCTATGTTCTCCTTTTCCCTTTGTGCGTGGAGACCTATGGGTTAAAAAAAAAAAAAAGCCCTGCTTACCTTTACTGGCTTCTACAAACAATCTCAAGCCTTGCCAAAAACAATGATTGTAATGAATGGTTTAGATGCACATGTTTGGGCTAAAATGATCCCAGGTTCAAGCCCCTTAACCTGGAGAGCTGTTATTCCAGCTGTTAATGAGATGAAGGCATTAAAGTATTCCTCATAGTTTCCCATATCTGGAAGATGTGTCAGTGAAATACAAAAGTATTACTAAGAGGAGGACAGCGTTTTGAACACTTGCACCCAAAGGCTCCACTGCTGGGTTTACAACTTGCCTTAGCTTTGTGTGTAGCTCCTGGAGACACGAGACAAGCTGGGTAAAGTGCAGAAGACAAGCAACAGGCATAAAATAATTCTGTTGCTTAGGTTTGATCCCCTTCAACAGCTGTCATGCTAGTTGTAGGGCGTGATGAGTCTGCCTGGCAAAGATGCTTTGCCGCAGTCCTTTGAAAAATGTTGATCCTTACAGATTTTAGCTGCTCTGCTGCTTTCCTCAAGTCCCCGGTAGTCTGGGTTTCCTCAAGTGGCTGTGAATCCAAGGTGGTTGTCACCAAATACTTTTAATGACTCTTCCGGTGTTTTAATCTGTGGTTACCCTTGGAGTCTTGGATAACTGTCTTACTTTTTATAAATAATTTTTAAAAACTTTCAAGTCAGAGGGTAGCTGTGATGTAACCAGACTGAGAGCTTCTCTACCAGGACTTTGGGTGGTAGCAGGACACACGAGGCTGGTTACAGATCAGGGACGTGGATGATCCGAGTTCCCACTCGGTTTTGTCCATGCACTTCCTCATGGACTTGTACAGTTTGGTTATTTGCGTTTTGTGATGGATACTCGTAGGAGGAGTATCTTGGCACAGACTTGTCCTTGGAGTGCTTGACTGACGCGCCTGTCATGCTCATGGTCTGATTTTATTTTTTTTGTACTCAATTCCCTGGCGTTACAGTATTCTGGAGAGTAAATAATTATAAAACCATGAATAATGCATAATTTTACTCTCTGCTATAAATGATCTCTAACTCTGTAAACAGACACTCTTGCACTGAAAGACATCTTGTTTCCTCCTCCAGCTTACAATAAGCCTTTCCTTCAGCCCGTAATCTGCCCCAAACGTGTGGCTCTTAAAAATTAACCAAAGAGCATGTTAATTTGCGCTATATTCCTATTCCAGGATATGATCTCTTTCATAATAATGCAATGGAATTTTTTTCTGGGTTAATTCCCCACCATGTGTCAACATAGGCCATTAACCGTATGTGTGATTGCTTAATGCCTGGCCTGCAGTGACTCAAATACCAGTTCAAAATAGGTCTTTGCATACAGGTATTGTTCTCTCTAAGATCTTGATGATGGCTTGATTGGCACATGAATAGGGTACATTAGAGCTAGTTGCTGTGTCTGAAAGAAAGCTAAGACATCATGTTGGAAGAAAAAAAAACCCAACAGGTTGATGTGACGTGGGAAGGAGGAGGCAGGAGAAATACCTTAGAAATATGGTGGGGGAAAGAGGGGGACGTTGCTTCTCTTGCAGGAGCAGACCTGTCTGAAATTTTTCAGCCTTTCTGTGGCTGTCAGTGGAAATGTTGTAGGTCCTGCTTCAGCAAAATGCTAAAAGCTTACTGGAATCAACAGGATTTGTTTGCCTTTTTTTTTTTTTTTTTGTATTTGTACTGAAAGAGGGCTCCATGTACCCCTATTTCCTAAAACTTCTGAGTATCTCAATCCCCTCTATTAGCCAGGGTTGGTGGGTAGTCCGAAGTTTGATTGCTTCCATGAAAAATCAGGTTGAGTGCTTCATCCCCAAGTGAGCGGTCACACAAATGTTCCAGTTAGTTTGAGCCACAGAAAAGTGGGTGGAAACATTGCATATAAGCAATATTATTAGAGCATAATTGCTTTCCGCCGATACAAAATGGAGTGAACCTACACATCTAGCAAACAAGAAACTGTCAGAACAGTCTCCTGTCCTGTTCCCCTACTAAAATTAAAAAAAAAAAAAAAAAGGCAATTAATTTGTTTTGACATGGTGGGCATAGCCCATGAGAGCAGCATTGGGCAACTGGAGGAGGCTCCAGGCTCCGCTGGTGACTTTGGGGCAGATTCCC